ATATATATATATATATATATATATATATATATACACACATAAAATATACTTAGCTAAGGCATCTGTAGATAGATTTACAGTGTTAGAAATACGCATGTTACACACATGGTAGTTGCAAATAATGAGTAATTTTAAGTAAATGAGCAATCTTTCATTAGTAAAATGCATTATTACAGAAAATATAAAAGAAGAAGTAAAATGCATTAATATTTTGCATATACTGTAAACAGAATAGTATGCCTTGTTTTTATGCTATCATATGTTTATCAATGTATGATTGTAGAATATTGTTTCAAACGTCCCTTTTATTTCTCACAATCCATCAGAGTTTTGTGTTGCTGTTTGAGTTTCCAAATAGCCTATAAAGATGTATTAATATTTAAATCAAAACTTTGTGCAGGCTAAGCCATAGTTTTGAATGTATCATTAGCCCCTTTCTTCCAGGTATCACTTAACCACATTTGCTACGTGCTTGGAATCATTGTCTTGTTTGAAGATGATTTCCTGTCCAACACGACTTGTACCTGAGGAGAATGACCTTATGGATAGGAATTTGCTGGTACTTGTAAGCAGTCAAGGTGCCATAAATTTTGTGTAGATTTCAGCATGCGTCACAGTAGATTTTGTTGTGTTCCAAGACAATTTGGATTCATCTGTAAAAGCCACTGTTCCTTCTAAGCTGTGTGCATGCATGGCAAGACAGTAATCTGGCAGTTACTGCACTGAAGACAATATGCTGCTCACAAATTAGTCAGTTGGTAATAACTTCATGTAGAAGACTTAGGTCTACAATTGAACAATAACCTTGCCCAAAAAAATATGCTCTTCAGCCTTCAAAGAAGAATGGTTTTTGGAAATTATAGAAAGTTCCTATGGACAGAAAATTAATGCTCAGTTATGTTTGTACAAAGAAAAATTAGAAAGAACATTGAAAAGAGTCCCTCTTTTAGATTTGCTAATTTTGTTGTTTTTGAAGTTTGATGCTCATTTCAGCCTTTTGCTTCAGTCATCTTTCATAAGCAGTGGTTTTCTTAGCATCAGTTAGGTTACTTGTAAGATCTCTACTGGATTGTCGTATATCATGTAAAGAGCATACCTTGAGTTATTTAACATACTTTTGAAGGATTTGGTGGTTTTTTTTCTTTTTTTTTACCTTGACTGCTTCCTTTATCAACAATACAATTTGATATACCCTCTAAAGTTTCTGTGCTACTTTTATTGAAATGTTAAATTTTGCTTCAGTTTGTCACATCAACTAAAACGTGATTTCTACATGTTTGTCAGGTAACATTTCTGTCCTAAATCCATGAATGCATTCACCATCTACTCACTACTGCTTTACTTTTATAGATATTATGATGATGCAGCATTGTTTAATTGGTTGGATGAGAGTCAGTCACAGGGTAAACTGTGAACACATGGCTATACTCTAGTGCAGTTTATTTTCAAACATTAAGAGGGGGAGCAATAACATTATATTTGCATTTGACACCCATTATATTCACTGTTTGTGTAATTACTTCCAGTACCATAGGTGACCAATTTCGCCCTCATGCGTGCATATTTTGAAAATATAAATATTACCTCAAAATATGTATGCATATAAAATACTTGATAAATACTCAGTGTATTTTTTCTTTGTTTTGTTCAGTCCTGAACTAGTTGTTAGATGTATTAAAACAAACAGTAATGAAAAACTGATAAACTGTACTTATATTTGTTTTCAAAATAATGAATAGTTGTTTCATAACCAAAAATACATTTTAAAAAAGATCACAGACTATCAAGCTATATGTGAAATGTATTAGAAATGTCTAACTCATAACATTGTTTTTTTTATTAAACTTAAATTGCCTGACTTTTTTATATAGTGTTTTTTCTTTTTTTTTATTAGTATTTATGTTGGATTTAAAGGAACTTAAAAGCAATCTCTTGTTAGTATTAGTATTTTTATATAATGTGAAAATTATAACATCACTTTTGTGTGTTGTATATCAGGTGAACAATACCAATCAAACTTTAAAAGACATGGAAGGAAAAAAACACATTAAAATGTTGAATACCTAAAGTTTTTAGTTTGTAAAGTGACTTTCCATTATTTTGTTTTGGGTCATTTTATATATTTCATACCAACCCCACTCCCTCCATTACAAGTCTGAGGGCTTATAATGCTAAAAAACAGGTTTTGATACCCACAAAGAGCATGTTGTGTAGCTTTGTGCTTAACAAAAAACAAAACCTACTATGCCAAAATGTAGTCTTCAAGTTTAAACGTTGTTTTGCTAATCTACTTAATTAGGGCAGATAAAAATGGCATGTGTAGCATCATCCAGTTAACTGTGGGATTGTACTATTGCATCTTCCTACTGTTAATCAAGGTTAGTGAGGGAAATTTTGCATTTGAGTTATGTTTCTAATTTGATAGCATGCGATATTTATTGTTGTCACCTTACATTCCATAACTTTTTCAGATCAAATTATTAGTAAAATCAGAACAAATACAAGGGTCTGAGTCTCAATAGAGTGATACTTAAAGGGTTCTAAGAATAATGTTGGTAAGGAAGGGGGAATGAAAACATCTGATAAAAATGAAGCATTTCACTTGAAATATAAACATTGGTAATAATTCATACATGCTTGACAGGTTTTGCTGATAAATGATGGAGAATCAGCAATCAGGTTGTTATTTCCAACTTCAAATCTTAATTGAGGTGGCTAAAATAACAAATAAGAATGTTTAACTTGGGTGCTTTTTGGTTGGAGGCAGTTTGAACATCCTTCCAGAAAATGGAAGAATTTCAGATCCAGATTTTGTTTTGGCTACTGATAGAATAGATTTTTGTTCTTAAAGAAATACTCTTTACATCTAAACAAGAAAATAATCCAAAAGGAGTAAAAAACTGCAACTTTTAGATAGTTAGCTTAGCATCTTTAGACAGAAAGGATTTCTAAACAAAATACACATTACTAAACAGGTTTATTTGAACCATATTCCAAACATTATTTAAACATGCTGGTTGATTTGTTTGACAGTTACATATTGTAGTAGTGTTATTCTTTTGTGTGGGTTATTTTAAAATTATTCGGTGAAAATAATTCAAACAATCACAAATTAATTTATTTTCTCCTTTAACATTTCTATAAGCTTGCACACTTATAAATTGTCATAAGTTGTTTGATTGGCTTATGTTACAAATGATGTTTAAACCTCTTAAAAATACAAGAATCATTGTAAAATTGAATCACTTTACTTGCATGAAGTACCATAACTAACACACTGACTGATTTACATAATAATTTATAATCTACTTTTGAATAATATGTTAGAAAACTTTTTGTTCCATCT